TATTATTATTATTATATTTATTATTATTATTATTTGGAACACTCATATTAGAAACAATCTTGTTAACTTAGTTATGGTCATTGATATAAACGAAAACCCCATAAGGTTTAGAATATTATTTTTACATTATTATATCAATTATTTAAAATGTAGGCCTAATATTACAAAACAAAATGGCATTCAATATATTATATTTAAGTTTCATAAGTGACTAGGAATATTTATAAACATATTCTTAATTAACAACAGAAGCTGTATAAAAATAACATATAAACAAATTTTGCTGTCAAATCATTACAAATATATAATTTAAACTTCAATTATTAAATTGAAGTTATTCAAAAGCGTATAAATGCTGGTGTTATTGCTACCATAGTGTGGGAGTGTCGTGGTGGTGGTAAGCATGCTGAATGGTTCACTAGCTCCTTGATATGATAACAAATGAATTCGACTACCTATTATCATCTGATAACAACACCTCTACAGAGTAAGGCTTTATAACAAGTGAAAGTCTTTTGAATTAAGTCCAGAAGTAATTGCAACAAAAATAATAGACTGTACTAAATGGGCTACACGGGTACGATGCGGTTTATTGGGTTAACTTTCAGATTAGTGGCACCCATCACTTTGATTGTGCACTCAAGAACAAAATATAAACGAAGGAAAGCAAAAAGAATGTTCAAAAACATCTTGCACTAAAATTACACAAAAAAAAAAAAGAAAAGAAAAGAAAAAGCATATGAAACAAAACCAAGCAAGTTACTGTAATGTTTTATACTTATTTGCATATCTCACAAGTTTTATTTATCATTAAGTTTGTAAATGTAATGGAACACACTGAGCTGCACAAAAATCTGTACACAGTAGTCATTTAAAAGTACCGGAATGTCGGGTTTTGGGGTTTTGTGTTTTTTTTTGTTTTTTTTTTTTTCTTGTTTTTTCTTTTCTTTTCTTTTTCTTTTCTTTTTTTTTTTTTTTATTTATTTTTTTATTTTTTGGGCTTACTTTAATTAAGGGTTTAGGGAAGAATCAAAGTCAATTCAACAGATATTCTATAAGATAGCATTGGTCTTGTGCGCATTACGCTTCATTCAAGCGATTTAAGGTATTTTTTACAATATTTGTCGAAAATAAAACAGGCATCATTTTAAACAGAATCAATCAAATTGTATTTAAGGGGAAATTCATTATGGATAGACAGATCATCAAAGAAAAGATGGTGTCTAAAATTTGCTAAGCCTGAAGCAAATATACCCCAAAATTTATCAAGGTTGTATACATTAGTTCATTTTTAGGTTCCTGGAAATCTCTAATATTATTAACTTTACAGCATTCAAGAACAAAGTGACCTACTGTTTCTTTACTACTCTAAACTACTTTTACATAATTTTGCAAAGGCCTGTGTTTAAAGTTGACCAGAATTTCGGCTTTTGATTAATCTATTTAGTTCATTGATATACATTGTAAAAAAAATAGGAGACAATGGTCATCCTTGTTTTACACTTTCTAGGATAGGCCTGTTAAATATTATCTGTTTCGAGGCTCCCAAACCTTTCCTTTAACATTTTTATATAATTTTTATATTATGTTAAGTAGGGTACCTTTTATTACAGCTTTTCAATTAAAAGAAGTAGAAGAAAAAAGAAAGAAAGAAAGAAAGAAAGAAAGGCCATAAATAGGTCTTTTTATCCTTCAGCCTGACGGCAGGCAATTAGGCAGATGCGGTCTTCGCATCTTTTGTCTTTTCGAAAGCCCACTTTTTGTTTCAGACAATAGATCATTTTCCTTAAGGAAATTTGAGACCGTCTTGGAGATAATACTATTGTAGATCTTACAAAATGCAAGAGTTAAGTGTAATTACCCTGTAATTATTAAGATCTCTACGATCGCCCTTTTTATATAGTGGGATGCAAATGTAGAAAAAAATGGCCCTAGTAAAAATGGCCCGGTAAAAATGGCCCAAAATGACAGGTAGGTAAAAATGGCCCCAATAATAAATTCTGTATCAAAATTGATATTTAAAAATGCATTATTAAACTGAAATAATTGAGTTTTTATATAAAATCTAACATCAAATAAATTGCCATTTAGACTATAGTTTACTTTTTGTAGGAATTACATGATTATTTATAGATAAATTTTTTATTTAAATGTTAAATAATATCAAAAATTTAATCAATTAATCAACAAAAATCATGTATTTTTTAATACTAAAGTAATTTAGTTGTGGTCAATTTTAACTTTTAATTGCTAAACCCCACAAAAATAGGTTGTTATGAAAATCACATTATTATTACTATTATTATTATTATTATTATTATTATTATTATTAGATTTAAAAAATCATAATTAAATATTTACGTTTTGTCCTATGACCCATAGTGTGACTATATAATGCTTAGAACAAGTCCTTATCATGAAACTGAAGGTGGTGTTTTTGTTTTCTCTGACGTGCTTATTAGTCGTGGTATTTTTATTAATTTCTAATAATATCCTGACGTCAAGGTAAAGTGTTTTTTTTTTTCATTTTTTAATTAATAAGTCGGGTGGAGAAAGACGACAGTACGGCTGTTCTATTTTGTAGTGTAATCACCAGCGACTGCATGTTTCTATTCCGATCCCCTCAGCAACCAAGTTATTTAATTGTTTCCACCCCCTATACTTTATACATCATGTTACCCGCCAGGGGTTCACATTTCTGATATCAGCTCCACCTGGTTTAGAGCAAATTTAAAAAATATGTACCTCTGATTTCCAGGAAATGGCATTCTTATAGGCGCTGCAACTGATCTCATAATACCGGTAATGATGATGCTGATGATGATGATGATGAAGATGATGATCAAGATGATCATCTTCAATAATAATAATAATAATTATTATTATTATTATTATTATTGTTATTGTTATTGTTATTGTTATTGTTATTGTTATTGTTATTGTTATTGTTATTATTATTATTGTTATTGTTATTATTATTATTATTATTATTATTATTATTAATATTATTATTATTATTATTATTATTATATGGTGTGGAACACCCATATTAGAAACAATCTTAATTTAGTTATGATCATTGATATAAAAAACCTTTTATGTTTAAAGTATTATTTTTTAAATGTTATTTCTATATTATTATTTCGATTATTTAAAATGAAACTGTTACAAGAAAATGACCATTCAGTATATATTTCAGTAGTAAATAAATAGGGATCTATATAACTTACTTAATTTAAAAATAGAAGTTGAATAAATATAAAATGAAATATAAACTATTTTTACTTTAAAATGTGTACTTTCAAATTATTACAAATATATAATTTAAACTTCAATTTACTAATAATTGAAGTTATTTAAAAGGGTAGGCCTAATGCTGGTGTTATTGTTACTGTAGTATTCTACCATTGGGAGTGATCGTTATGGTGGTAGGCCGGCTGAAAAGTTCACCAGCTCTTTGATAGGATAACAAATGAATTCGGCTAGTACCTATTATCCTCTGATGCAATTACAATGCCCACAGATAAAGTAAAAATCCTTTGAATTCCTCCAGTCTGATTAAACCAGAAGTAATTGCAACACGAAAAATTGACTATACTAAATTGACTATGGAAGCTTCATGGATTCACCAGCGATCGGCTTCATATGAGCTACCTTCATTCTGTATTGTGTAAATCCGGATACGATATACTTAAGAGATTATAAGCGTGACTGCAGCATTCCGGGACCATATTCCTTGTATTAACCATTTAAAATTTTAAAAATTCTTCATAGACTTAGTGTAGGCGGTTATAGGTTGGATGCCCCATGAAATTCCCCCTCCCCATAACATTTCCCCCGGACTGTCCCCAGGACAATCGCACCCCCTTCCAGAATTCCCCTTTACATCTTCTCATATATAATCATAAATTATACATTTTATTAAATTTTAATTTTTTATTTTACTTTAATTTTAAGGAAGTAATTATTCCTACGATATTTATTAGTGCAATAAGATAAACTGAAGGCTAAAGGATAAGATCTATAAGTGTGACTGCAGCCCCCACCCCCTTCCAGAATTCCCTTTACATCTTCTCATATATAATATTAAATTATACATTTTATTAAATTATAATTTTTTATTTTACTTAATTTTAAGGAAGTAGTTATTCCTACGATATTTATTAGTGTAATAAGATAAACTGAAGGCTAAATTTTTAACTATTTTTTGGCCAGGCTCAGTGTTCTTATTTAATGCTGATTCAGTCTTAAAATGCTCTTATTTCGTTTATATTTTTAAACATTTTTCAAACATACAAAATTAATACTATAGTATTATAGGGTATTACCATTCAATTCAATTCAATAAAACCTTATTGGGGGAGGGGGCGCCACCCCCGCGCCCTCCCCCAGATACGCCACTGCTTCCCCAGTACCCGCGACTAGTTTACTCATTCCCTTGTATTTTTCCGCCAATTTATTAGACACACCATTTCGATGATATATGACTAGTTAAAAAAAAAGATTGTTTGTACATGTATGCCTATACTTGTTCTGGCAAACGGGAAGAAACCTAAAGAAAAGGTCTGGCAGACGACGTGTTAATACATTTTAGAAGGATTGAATATTGCATTGTGCTTGCCAAAAAAATGTAACCTTAAAATATTAATTTAGTAATAATAATAAGACACATAATAGGCCTATGTAACGAAAGCTTTGTAGGAGCTTCTTTAAAATAATCTGTGAGTACTGGATCCGGATCTGTGTCGTAATTGATAGTCTGCAAAGAAGTATCACGCCAATAGGATTTGGTTTCATACCATCAGTGAACACCACATAAACTGTTTATATTATTATTTATTATTTTACTGTTGTTACAATATTTATTATCATCTACAATGAAACCTTTGCAATAGAATGCTTAGCTGATCTTGTTCATGTTGCTAATTCATTTAGTTAATCTTATCAAATTGTTTCAAATGTTTCATCTGCAAATTTAAATTACGAATTCATTTGATTATCATACATTACAACATTACATAGCGTATCTTCGAAATTACTTTGACGTATCTACTTTTCCATCAATTCTTTTGCAGATTGGTAAGAATTCCCAGCGCCAGCAGATTGGGTGCAACTACCGATTACCAACAAAAATGTACACCAGCGAAGAAGATAGTTTTTGTAAAAACACACAAGACAGGCAGTACAACAACTGCAACAATACTTGAACGATATGGTCAGAAGCACTCACTTGTATTTGCTCTTCCCAAAAAAACACATATATTTTCGACAACTGAATTATTCAACAGGACTATGGTCACCAAAATACCGCGTGGAATTACATTCAACGGAAATATAATAAATGGATATAACATCCTTACAAACCATGCAAGATATAACCGTCCGGAAATGGACGCAGTGATCCCGAATGCAAAATTTGTTACCATCTTAAGAGAACCGACGACCCAGCTCGAATCAGCCTTCGCATACTTTCACTTGGCTGATGGGTGGGGATTGGAGAATACGCCAAATGCCTTTGAGATGTTTATGAAAACTCCGAAAGCATATTTTGAGACACCATTTTTCATGTCGCATCTATCATTGAATGCACAACTGTACGATCTTGGATTAGATCATCAATTCCACAGTGACAGATTTAAAGTAGATTATAAAATCCGTCAACTGGAGAACGAGTTTGATTTAATAATGATTATGGAATATTATGATGAATCATTAATACTACTTAAACAAGTATTGTGTTTAGAGTATGAAGATATTATATATATTAAAAAAGGTGAGCGACAACAACAAAACAAATATGACATAAGTCCTAAACTACGTGAAAAAATGCGAAGGTGGAACCGCAATGATGCCAGGTTGTATAACCACTTTAATAAAACACTTTGGGAAAAAATTAACGCAAATAGAAAACAGTTTGACAAAGAACTTAAAGAATTCCGAAAGCTTCAAGATGAGGTTACAGAAAAGTGCGTCGAACACGTAACATTAAATGATGGATCAACTAAGAGACGAATTCCATTAAATGGTTTAAAAGATGAAGTTCGTTTTTGTAAAAGGATTTTCAAGGGGGATGGGCATTTTGTTAAGGATCTCCGACAGCGGTACATTGAATTAGGTCTCATTAAGCCACAAGAAAAGTGAGTCGTCTTTTTTTTCCAAAATAGTAGGAATAAGCATATCTGGTAAATTCTCTTATTGATTAGCTGGTTCTTTAAAACATATCGCATCTAATCCTAGCACTAATCAACTGTTAATGTTTGGTATATTTTAAAGTGAAAGTTTATTCAATATATAATCTGACTAACTGTGAACTGTATTATCCTCCAGTGGAGATGGTGAATCTAACCAAGATGCAAGGTACCTACAAACGCAAATTTCATCAACGTGCTCTCCTGCTACGCAGATAGTTTTCATAAAAACCCACAAAACTGGTAGTACAACAGTTGCGACAATGCTTCAAAGATATGGAAAAAGTCATAATCTAATCTTTGCTCTACCTAAAATCGGACATCTTTTCCCAATCAAAGACCTGTTCAATAGAGATATGGTTGTTAAAATACAAACTGGGGTTACTGTGAACGGAAAGACCATAACCGGTTATAACATCATCACAAACCATGCAAGGTATAATCGTGCAGAAATGGACTCAGTGGTACCAAAAGCTAAGTTTGTAACAATTTTAAGAGAACCGGTAGCTCAACTGGAGTCGGCTTTTGCATACTTTGATATGGCTGACACATTCGGCCTTAAGAATACCGCGGAACCGTTAGTCAAGTTCATGGAAAAACCGAGAGCGTATATGAGTCAAAGCTATACTAATACATCTATGGTACACCTAGCAAGAAATGGACAACTATATGATCTTGGGCTAGACCCAAGTCTTTATAAAACATCTGTTGCTATTCGAGATAAAATTCGAGAAATTGACAGAGGGTTCGATTTAGTAATGATAATGGAATACTTTGACGAGTCGCTTGTTCTTTTAAAGAATTTATTGTGTTTGGAATTTGACGACATAGTATACATCGCAAAAGGCGCACGGAATGATAGATATGAAATGGATCCAGAACTTCGGAAATCTATCAGGAAATGGAACTTCGCTGATTCACAATTATATGAATATTTTAATAAATCATTATGGAATAGGATACAGAAAAACCGGGAAAGGTTTGACAAAGAATTGATGCAATTTAGAATACGACAAAAAGAAGTTACCGAACTATGTGTGAAACAGTATTATACGATCGATAATGAACTTAGAAACAGAATACCACCTAATCGAACTGAAGACGAAAATAAATTCTGTAAATCTCTATATGCTGGAGATCGTAATTTTGTTAAACGTCTTCGACAGGAATACATTGATCTTAGTATTTTTGATAGTACTGATTAAAATTGTAATATAATATGTGATTATTAACATTAAAAGGCAAAATACTGAAAACAAGAATGTTGTGGGAATGGGAAAATGGATTGAGGCCTATCCGTGGTAAAGATCATACAAGTTTGAAAAGCAACAGCTAAAATTTAAACTTAGGCCTTATAGTAAACAACCTGAAAACAAGAATGTTGTGGGAGTGGGAAAAATGGAGGTATCCGTGGTAAAGATCATACAAGTTTGGAAAGTAACATCATAATTTTAAACTTAGGCCTTAGTAAACAACCAGAAATAGAGCTATAGCACAGTTGCATGATTTTCCATATTGTACTTATATACAAATACCTTATTATATATACATATACTTATGTACATACTGGTATATAAAGCCCTGTTCACATTATTAAATTATATTTGACAAAACATGTGACATGCCTAAATATGGTCATGATAACAACAGCAGAGCATGACCATAAATAGGCACATCATGACTATATAAGGACATGCAACAGTTGATTGTCAAATTAAATGTGATAGTGTAGATAGAGCTTAAGGCAAATAACGGGTCAAAATGCTATCAGGTATACATCACAAAATGTATTTTGAAAAATAGCGACAATGTTTCTTATAAAACTTTTAGATCCATCTTAGAATCCCATATCCTATTCTTAGAACCTGCTTCTTTTATACCAAGTGGCATAACAATCCTGTAATGTATACCGTATATATACTGTCTCTTATACACATGAAAATTATATTCAAATTTAAGTCTGAGAGTACACTTCCAACCAACTGAGGTGCCATAATCATAAACTTTCTTATCTCAGCCCCAACCATGGTGGGGCTGAGGTGGTCTACACTCCATCTGTATAAGCCCCTCCCTGGGCCCCCTCTTTGGAATTCCTGGACACACCACTATATTTTGAAAATGTAGTGTGGAAATAAATTTTAATTATATTTCTTAAAATAACTTTGATAAGACTTAAAAAAGGCTATAGACGCCAGAACTTAATGGGGGCTTCGCCAAGGGCCTCCAGTGAAGGCCCCGGGTGACCCCCTGGCTACCGCCAAGGGCCTGCGGCCCGAGGTTTCCTTATTTTGCAATTCGTTCCCCCACACTTTTCACAACGGATTGACGCCCTTGTATAGTAGTATGTGTTTTAATCATTTAATAAATGTATTACTCATTGTGTTAACTTTTCAAATATAAGCGATGAGCTGAATAGGCTATATTATGGGTAGGCCTCTTCTTTTCACTCATGTTCAAATTTTCATCGTTTATAATAATTGTAGTATTTTTTAATATTCAGTGCTGTGCTAAATGTTTGTTAGTTGGTTCAAATGATAATAATTAATAATTATTATATTATTTACTTCTTAATGTATTGTTTGTCTTGTGTATAAATTTGATTTCTGTTGCACAAATTAATATAGGCCCCTATTTAAAATTTTCATCGGTTTTAATATAGGCCTACATTACTTTAGTATTCACTGCTGGAATTTTAAATGTTGGCCAGTTTTCAAATGCAATTCCTTCTTTTATGTTCGAACAATAAATTAATTCAGTATTCAATACGGTAATGTATAACATAAGATAGGTCTTTATTATAAAGTGTATGAGCAAGGTCGAGGTAGGTCACTTCGTCAAGGCGGGCCGGGCCAAACGCTACCGCTGATGTGGGTGGCGCGCCCAGCGCTCAGGAGGCGGGCGCTGGGTCGTTGGGATGGGGGTCGCCTTCTGCAGTGTATCCACGTGTGGAATCGGCTCAGTCAGCCGACAGCTAGACGCCATCTGTACAAAATCTAGTTCACAACGTTAAGTATCATAAGTCTATTATCGTAAATATTATGATAATAAGCATACAGAATTTTTTCAATTCTGTTCTGAATTTTGAAGAAGAAAAAATGCTAGTTTTAATTTAATAAACTTTAAAGGTTATAGTGATTTAAATTTTAACGTAGGTGTAATTTTATCGTGACGCCTTTTATTTATCATGGAAATGTACTTACCTTAAAAAATATACTACCATGTGTTTATATGCCTTCCTCAACACCACTCAGCCCACCAACTGTGGCGGAAGTGGGGGGGGGCGGAGTGTGGGGGCAGGGGCCATATAGTCGGCTAATCTGGTGGTAGCCACTGTGTGTCCGCTGAACCGTGGAGATCTCTAGGTCCCGGTTCAATTCCCATCGCTGCCTCTCCTTGTGTTTCAGTTTGAAGGCTGAAATACAAGTTACAATAGCGCACCGTCTTCCGGATGAGACGTTTAAGCCGTTGGTCTCGTGTGCATTATGGCCCATGTGCACGTTAAAGAACGCAGTACACTCTTCGTAGGGGAGAGTAGGGGATTGTCTCTCGGTGTACTGCACCGAAAAAATCCAATCCAATTTCCACTTCACTTTTGTTTACCTGGTGGTGGGTGGGGGGCTGGTCTCCTATCCTTGAGCATAAAGGAAACAATGGAATCGCTCGACCGCCTTGCGTAAATTCTGGGCGAAGGTAGGCACTAATGGTGCGACGTTCTATAAGATGTAATAGTGTAACTGATTGGCTAACAGTAAACCACCAAACTAACGTAATAACCACATTTAAATTCTATCTAATTTAACTAAAACAATAATTTCATTTTTTAAAAGCTGTAGCAGTGGGTAGCTGGGAGAACGGGCTCCGGTGCTATATTAATTGCAGGGCATTTAATGTGAAGCGTCACGGGAGTGGGTTGTTGAGAGCCGCAAATTTTCCCTCTGTTGCGGCAATCCCTGAAAGCTCCGAACGTTTAAAATTTTCATGAGCCGTATATTGATTTTAAAGTATTCAAATAATGATTAGGTACTAATAATCATTTTTTGATTGCACGTTTTTATCAGTGGCACTCGTGATAACTGTTGTGCATTAAAAAAACTTATACACTAAATACGGTAAAAGTACATTGAAATAGAGTAAAATAGGTCTACCGTAAAAGAGACCAGTAAAGGTGCATATTTAAAAAAAAATTAAAATGCAAATACATTAAAATACGATAAAATACATTAAAATATCCTAAAATATTAAAATACAGTAGAAGACACTAAAAGAGTTGTAGTTATTACACAAAATTTCGATACATTTATTCCAATATATTTAAAACATTCAGACATTTCCTTATAATTGAAATGAATTTAATAGGCCAATAGTTGGGCCATTCACTTTGCTAAAATTTCAATTCTTGTTTTCGGTATCTTCATTATATATGTCTTACATGAAATAATTATCGAGTACTGTAGTTCATTATTTATGTTCGAGGTGTGCAGATGGTATCTTTACCAAGTAGACCTATAGACAAACTTTAGACATTGGCAATTTTGAATTGCTTCCAATTTAAAATTGCTTCCGTAGAATAAACAATCCATTTTATTTACACAGCATGGTATATAGGTCTACCCCACATTGCTGTGAGCCCACCATAATTATTTGCTAGCCCATTGTTGTATAGGCCTATAGGAGAAAAACAACAGCCCGGTTTAACTCTTTCAGTCGTCAAGGAAATCACAGTATTTTCGAAACTTAATCTTAAGAAAACAACCTATTTTTGTGCTTTGGACCCATTCACATTTGCTAGCTCATTGTTGTATATAGAAAAATGATCATTAAAAAAGCACAGCCCTGTTTAACTCCCCTGACACTCAAATACATCAGTATCCGATGTCCTAGTCTATAACATTTTTATACAATTTACTTGGGCGTAAGGTCATCCACACTTTACCTCTCATACCAGCCTTGCTGTAGTTAGTAATTTGTCATACCACACAGTATCAAATGCTTTATGAAATATATAATGATTCACGTTTTCAGAAAATTCATTGTAGAAGATTTTCTTATCTTTTCACCCTCTACTCCTAATGCCTCTACCCCTAATGACCTACGCTATAGAAATACTAATAATAAACTGATCGTCACTATATCAGAAGGGGCCTATGCGGTCTCAACAGCTAGTTCAACTAGCCTAATCATAAAAATTGGTGGCACGTAAAATGAATGAAACAAATAATCAATAATTACTCTTCAAAAAACCTAAATATTATTGACAGGCCCATTTGCAGTTTTCCTTTAAAAAAAAAAACAAGGCCTAAGTGGGAAAATAGTTTTAATGATTATTTTTCAGCCTATTTATGAATGGGCCACTAATAACCTGGGCCCCAGTGCTTTGCACTGGCTGCACTGCCCATCTCAACAGCGCCACTGAAATTACGAATTAGTCATTTGTAAAAAAAAAAAAAAAAGATAGGCTAGGTAGAATGTTATATTAAACAGTGGCGGTGCCCAGCCGGCACGCACCCTCCTAGCCTATTTTTTTTTCTTCAAAATTATGAAAAAAGATGGAGGAAACAGAAAATTTTATACTTAAATTTAAATCTGAGAGTGCCATTTCCAGCCATCTGAAGTGCCATAATCATATTTTTTTTCTACCTTTGCCCCAACCACGGTGGGGCTGAGGCGGGTGGACACTCTATACTATACATGTCCCCCACACCACTTTAAAAAACGTTCCGCCGTTGCCGCCCACTACCTTACTGTCATGTTCACCATTGCATTAAAGCCAGATATCAGACCCGTATCTAGCGAGTGAGATTGTACCCACCTAACGTCTCCCCTAATCCACCCCACCCCCTCCCCCCGCAAAGAAAATCGAAAATGTTCCTCATTTTTAAGTCGAAGATGTACTGAAAATAAAACTTTAAAGGAGTCTTCAAACTTTACATTAGTCAGTGTAATCTATCGGAACCTCTCCAAAGCCCCAATACATACAATCCAGGCATGGCGTTCGGGGCGGGCAGGGCCCATTTGGAAACAAACCTTCAGGTTTAAATGGTTATCCAATGTTCCCTATGATCTTTTTTATATGTACAGTATTTCTTTTCCTTTTGTTCATGCTTTGTGGACTGTCTGATTTCTTTTTATACCTTTTTGATGTTTTCCTTTTTTCATTATTGAATCGTTTTGCTTTGACAAAACTTGGCGACAGGGAAGAGTCCTGACTTGCATTATTTGTAGGACGATCGAAATGTATTTTATGAGCACTGTTCTTTGGTTAAATTAAGTACGAATTTTATTGACGTATTTCAAAATAACTAAGTTTAGTTGTGTTTCCCTCTATGATTTAACAATTAATGAGACTCTTCTTCTACCATGAGTTCAGTCACGCATGCAAGACTTTGCAATCATACAATTTTAACACATCCAGATCTGTTTTGAAAGGTGGGTGCGGGGAGGGGACATTTCGTGAGACCACACCCACCTCAGCCCCACCATGGTTTGTGGAATTAGTACGTCAAACTGACCGGAAATGACACTCTTTAGTAAATTTAAATTCATCATAACATTCCAATGATCTTTTATCAGCGATTTTCGGCTAGATCTAATTAATCTGTATTGTACCACGGGAAATAAAACTTAATTGTCTTTGATGTATTTACATTACTTTACCTACATCGTGTGCCGAAAATCTTATAAATTTTCTCATACTTCTTAAATTATAACAAAAGCACGTTCACTCGAGTTTGTATTATATTCAATTCAGACGTTACAGTGATACCGGTATTTTGTTATAAGATATACAGTACTGTAGGCCTACTCAGGTTGTACAGCAATTTTTCGTTGAAACCTGGGTCATTTATACAGCCCATTTCAACAACTTTCATGAATTATGTTTGCATATGAAATTACATTGCGGTCGAAACATGGATGGGGACCAACTCCCCTTAAAAGTTGCAAGTAAGTTGAGCTAATTGCATGCATCTTCTAAGCCAATCAAAACGCGCAGACATTACGTCATAGGTCACAATTATTTGTGTCTTCCGTGACAAATTTCAAACTTTGCTTGATGTGTGTTTTCAGCATTTTTTCCCATTTAACAAGGATGGAGATATGAATGCGAAATTGTCAATCCAAATATTCACAGTATATATGACAATCTGAAGATTACAAAGGCCGGAACTTGTAGCGACACTTGCAAGAGTAAAGGGGTGGTTGTGGGGATGATTTTTTTTAAATCGTTCTACTCCTTAAAGGCGGTACACAATTTTTTCGCTCTGACAAGCTAGCTTCATAGATACATCTAATTATTATTCAGCACCCAAAAATATCTCTTCCAATCGCAACCAAAATAAAGATAAAATCTTGTGTGTAGACCCGGCCATGATCCGGCTGGCTTTTCCTTATCGTGCTTCATGAAGAGCTGGTTTTATGTACAGATACACTGCAATACCCTCCTTAAACCATCCTAATTTTATACATCCATGCATAGACAGCATTGTTTGACAGTGCACTATTTTACATGTAGTACCGTAATCAATGTCGAAAGTGAAACTTGCTAACCATAAAACCACTAAAATACTGACCATACATCAACTTATGCAATTTTTATTTGGTACAAGTTAGTACACTTCGTAACCATCTCAGTAACCACTACATCGATTTTATGGATGCAATGGTTATCAGAGGCTAAATTTATTATAAAAACAATGTACTACTGTACGTTTTTAAAATTGGAAGCGTGTAAACCTATTAGGCCAACATTTTTACGAACTCAAAAGTGCACAATATACACAATTTATTCTTTTTGTATATTATTAAGGCCCGTATATACTAGTCTTCAAATTTATCTGCATACATAGATTCCTGTTTTTCCTGATTTCAAAAGAATTATACCGGTAGTCAATTGAATTTTTATAACCGTTTTATACAATATACAGCCTTTGACACGATTTAAGTAGTAATAACTCCGATGTTACTTGACGCAATCTCGCCATGACATCATGCAGGGGCGGATCCAGCGGGGGTCACAGGGGACGTCCAACTTTGAAAAGCATCTTTACCATATGAGAGTGCTATTTCCGAGGTCTAGAGGGGCATATTCTTAAAATTTACTCTAAATTCTAAGGGAGCTGGGGGAGCAGATCTCCCGTCGGTAAGTCAATAATTTTGTCGAGGAGACTGCTTTGAAAAAGCATTTCTAAAATCTGACAGTGCCATTACCGAGTGTCTAGAGGGTCATATTCTTAAAATTTGCTCAGCCTTAACCATAAAACCATTTCCCCCACCCCCGTCAAAAAATTTCTGGATCCGTCCCTGCCATGATAATGATAAATTAAGTAAATGACCTTTTATTTTTGTGAAATATTGTAAAGAGGAGAAAAGGAAAAAACTCTCAATGATTTTAAAAGAACTGTGCAAAGATAAAACTGGAGTGACAGTGTTTTATATTTATCCATGAAGGAACATGGTTTATCATTTGTTTTTCATGGTTCAAATACGTCACAAGTTAATCAGTAGATAATAAATCATTATTTTTATGAATGTTTGCATGAAATATGCAAGCGGGCATGATTATGATTATGATTATCTGGATAAATTACAAATATATATATATATATATATATATATATGATGAGTATTTCAGTGGCAGGTTCAAATGGACCCAGCCGGCCCACACTCCCTATTTTTTTTTTTTTTTTTTTCAAACATTTAAAAGTGGCGGAAAAAGAAAATTATATTCAAATTTAAGTCTGAGAGTACATTTCCAACCAACTGAGGTGCCATAATCATAACCTTTCTTATCTCAGCCCCAACCATGGTGGGGCTGAGGTGGTGTACACTCCATCTGTATAAGTCCCTCCCTGGGCCCCCTCTTTGGAATTCCTGGACACACCCCTGTATTTTGAAAAGACGCCAGAGCTTAATGGGAGCTTCGCCAAGGGCCCCCAGTGAAGGCCCCGGGTGACCCCCTGGCTACCGCCAAGGGCCTGCGGCCCGAGGTTTCCTTATTTTGCAATTCGTTCCCCCACACTTTTCACAACGGATCGACGCCCTTGTATAGTAGTATGTGTTTTAATCATTTAATAAATGTATTACTCATTGTGTTAACTTTTTTACTTTTTTGAATGACCGCACTTAACCGAAGACGACGACACCGTAGGCCTACTGTGTAAACGCCAAATGCTCATTTTTTCACCACGACGAATTGTGGTTGTTCTTCTCCCCGACCGAGGTGGGGGAGCTCTCCCTGACGGGGACCCCTCCCCCAGCCCCCGCTGACGCCACCCCTACTCTCGTAATGTTACCAAAGCAGCTTCAGACAACTTTACATCTGGGAAAAGAACCATGTCCAGACCTCTTTGACTAAACTTTCCTCATGCATATGCAGCGATTACTATACTGAAATAGACTGTCCATCCCAAATGTTTGTCATCATTTAGGTCTAATATTTTCTAATACTAGCTACAGTTTGCAAAATTGGCCGAAAGCTTCAAGGAGCTTTCTTTTTCTTGTAGTTAGCTGTGATCAGTAATGTAATAATGCTTTGATCTTTAGTTTATTCATAACTATGTCACCTACTATGTTTTGATTGGTCAAACACTTTTGGTACTTGTGCATATAAGCTTGCAAATATGGATAATTTTCGTTTCTGATGATAACATAATTAATGTCGAAATATTGAATATGACACGATGGCGTGCATTTCAATACTTGGAGTATGTATTATACAGTACTACCTTATATCATCATTGTTATCACAATAAAGTTTATCTTATATTACCTTGAATGAAGAGAAGGGTAAAATTTGTGCCTATTTAATTTTGAAAAGGGGTTCTGTCAGAAAATTTAGTAATTCAAGACCCATTTAAGAACTCTGTGTTTGGTAAAAATGCTTTAAAATAGTTTTCAGAAAATAGAATTGCAGTTATCATCAAACCTGTGGCACTGTATTTTTTAGGAGAAACTATGTATAATATAGGCATATGAAAATTATTTAATTTCTTTTACACTAAATAATAATAATATTATTATTATTATTAAAAATGTAACAAATGAAATATTGTATCTTAATTCTACCACGCTCTATACCTCTGAAGATTCGCATCCATCCCTCTCAATTTCTGTAAACTCTAATTTATCACTCTCCAATAATAACTTGCATACAGTAGGTACCATACATCTCTCTTGTTAGTTCATCTATATACGCTTCTATCACGTTAATCCATACCGGTATCTATCATTTATTTACTACCACCATTTTCAAATGGTACTGATAATTTTTAGCTTTCTTAGATAGGAACCCAAAGTTGAAGGAGTTTGTGAATTTAAATGAATGCATGAGTTAGGACACCGTTCCGCAACCTATGGGTCGCGACCCAATGTTTGGATCGCGAAAAAAAAAATGATGGGTCGCATTATCTCTTCAGATCGTGAAAACTTTACTTAACACGACAAAAACAAACGAAATTAAATTACAGTAAACGAAAGTGCAATAGTGCGACAAGTGCGTCTGTTTACTTTTGCCATGCGTGGGTTATCACAGTTTCATGTTAAAAATATACTATCAAAACATTTGTACTTCAGGTATGACAACTTAAGAATTAGTTTAGTTCATTTCAGTGTGTTAGGCTTTCAGCTGCAAGTTATAATGAGAAAACATTTTTAAATTTTCGCATAACACAATTCGCTGGCAACTTTTTGAAAACTGTGGTAACTTGCGTGATTTTGTTAAATGAGTAATTCAAGTTATTTCATTTTTATAGGTTTTACATAGTGATTCTGTGGGTGATAATATCAATTCACAAAAGAATCAAGAGGGAGGTTCTTCCCACTATCCCTCGTACGCATAAAACGACGGACATTTTAATCATGTTTTGATGGGTCGCGTCAGAATGCTTGGCATATAATTTGGGTCGTGGGCTAAAAAGGTTGCGGAACGAGGAGTTAGGACAAACGTGTTAATAGCGAAACGAATGTTGCAGGGAAAAAAAAGATTTAGAGAACATGATTGGATAAGTTCGAAGTTGAGTTTATTCAGAATTATATAGAGTCCACAAAGCAGAGCAACATAAACCAGCGGCGTTAAAGATAAATGATGAAAAAAGCCGAATTATCACTACAACTCCAAATGGTTAGCTATGGTTCCCACATCGTGGGATCTGGTCAATCGTTTTTGAACATCGCTTCATAAATAAGAAAAAGCTCATTAAATCATTATCAAATTGAAGCGTTTTATAGAATACAATTTTGTCAAATTACAGTATTATGATTCTAAAGCTGCATTTACACTAGACACGATAAAAATGCACTCACTGTTGAAGAATATAAACGACGCGATGATATGTCGTTATCGTGTCTAATGTGAATGTAGCTTAAAACGAATATTTACCGCATCAAGCAATATCAAACAATTTTTATAAGTTAGAGGAACTGTGTTGATATTACTCACAATGAAAGAGTTCGTAACGATTTTAGGCCAGTTTTCATAACCACCATTTGGGCGTCTACTGTGCAAGGGATCTAATCGAGTTTAAACAATCCAGTGGTATACTCAAATACAGTACTAACTGACAAAATATATGAACGTCCTCCGTTTTAAGCTGCTACCACATGATTTCAGCGTAGAAAAAAAAGAAGAAGAAAACATGGCTCATTGAGGGCGCTGTCATAACATACCTATCATGTTGGGGCAATGTTGCCAGATATTGAATACAGTACAATGATTGACTGCGAGATGTTACTATTTCGTCCACAGATTTAACATTAACAAGGCATCTCAAAGTTGAATTTTAAACAACTGAAATATGTGGATGTACTAACATATGTATTAACTGTATATTCGATAATGAACAGAAAAAGAGATACAGTAGTTTAGTGTTAATAAAAGCAAAATGAATGGGAATAAAAACTAATTAATACATCACAGACTTAACGTTACAACCATTGCAACTAATATGCAAAAGTTAGTAACCAACTTAAGAGCAAGTGAAAATACAGTACATTTTGCATTGCAACATATTGAAAGAATTTTAGTTTTCAATTTACAGAATAGCTAAGGGTGATTTTGGGTTTAACTGTAGCAAACTATTGTAAAGAAAATCTCTCAGCTTCTGTTATATAATTAATACATAAGTATAGACCAATAATCGAGAAACTTCATATCAAAGCATAAATACATCATTTAATTTCTTTGATAAATAGAATGTGAAATTTGATGTACCAATAGTCACATCTCACAGAACGTTTATCATGCATAAAATACGTACCAAGCCAAAAACCTTAAATACTAATTGCGTATCCCTTTTTTGTAGAATACTCAGCAGAGAAAAACAATTTCACTGAAGTTTAGAGGTCACATTACATGAATATTCATGATCGGTCGGTTTGAAAAACTGCATTTTTCTTCATTAAAAAGATTGCACACACGCACTCAAAAACAAAAACTATAAAATATCAACAAAGTAAAATCTTCAACAGTCAAAAATTACACACAGGCAATATAAAAGATTTTCATGTTCTTCTTTAAATGAAAAAAATATCTTAATCACATAAACTACAATAAACAATTCTCAAGATAGTTATATATTATATAGGCGTCTTCGGTTTAACTGTACAATCCAGAATGAACACAAGTAAAATAATAATATTACTTTAAACAAACTAGAAAATGCCTTTACCAATAATTGTCCCATTATCAGACAGATTAGCATTCATAATAATCCATATATCTTATGGATTACCATATATTTAACTAGGCTAATCCCTAATATGATGGATTAGCACTATATACTGTATAGGTTCCAAATAAGGATCAGCTTTATTTTAACTAGGTTAATCCACATCTTGTTAATTAGCATTGCCTTAACTTGGATAATCCATGTTATGGGTTAACACTGACTTACCTAGTATAATCAATGTTACGGATTAGCACCGATTTAAGAGTTCTAATCCACAAAATTAATATGAGAATTAATCTTAGAATGCTCTTTGAATGCTCTTTGTTGCAGTTAAAGCAATTTGGATTAGCTTAGTTAAAGAAATCCTAATCTATGATATGTGGATTAACATATTTACAGATTAGTTAACTAATCCATATTGTAACAATATTTGTTCAGTGCATTTGCTCATATAATTATTTCAGAATATTGCCTTTCAAAAATAAACGTACACTACAGAAGCATAATGTTAATTTCAGATCAAAAGCAGGTTTAATAAGTATTCATAATCCCATATATTCCCAACTACAGACAATACTTTTCAATTTTACTTTTTCTAACATAATATGAATTATATAATACTAACATATATAGTTGAGTCCAATCTTTGAGTTATAACTGACCAGTAACTGGCACCCTTTACGAAGAATACTGTAATCTAATCTAATCCAATGATATCTGAAGGGTAGGATTACTGTCAAACCTGATGGTTCAGTAACACTTTACCTGTTATGACATTGCTTAATCCATACCCTTAATCCAAGAGAAACCATAATCTTTGAAATCAAACAGATTAGTACTGTAAATATATTCATGAAAGAAATCTAAATGAGGATAGGGTTTAAGTTAGGCAAGCCTGACTGAGCTTGTGTAGCTTACCCTGTATGCATTATACTATGTTCAATAATAATAGATTGGTCGAATTATAATAATCCCTTAACGTTTCATTGCTACTGTTAAAAAATCATCAAGTTAAGTGTGCCGCTACCAAATGTTAACTAAACTAGGGAGTCAAGGTACACAAATCTATACCTCATAGAGGGCTCAACTTTCACATCAAAAAGGTTTCAAAAGTGGAAAAAAATGTCACTCTGTAATTGACAACAAAAATTTATCAGATACAAAAAAATGAATGCTACAGCAACCAAAGAGTGTATAACAACACTCTTGGCATCTATTAGTTAACCAGACTTCCTACAACTTGTAAATGATTAAAGAAATTGACTAAAATACGGTACAAAACCTTTATAGCGTACAGTCTACATTTAAATCTTAATTCACTTGTTATCCATCGTACCAACATTCAACTTAGCAACATGAACAATGATATCTATATTAATAGTAGCAATAAGAATAATTAAACTCTTAATAACAAGATTTTAATATCAGCAATATTCGTCAGTAGAAAAAGTTTTACATTTATGATTTTTTATTCAATCTTATATATCACTGATTCGATAGTGAAATCAGCAGACCTCTGCTGGCTTTCAACGCAGAATAGAGTCCACATACGATCTCACACATAACACTTGATTTGTTCTTCACTACCCACAAGCCTATTATATTCTATATATTGTATCTACAAGAAAAAGACATTGAGATACAGCTTAGGGTTATTAATCCTAATGCTTACTATCAATCCTAGCCAATCAGAAATCACTTAAGTGAGTTCTAGCCAATCACTGACTAACACTGAGAAAATCTTAGCCAATTAGAACTGTTGATTAAAGTTCTAGTCAGTCACTGACTAACATTGAGAAAATCTTAGCCAATCAGGAAACACCTTTGTTTGAGGCAGGTGTTACTCGACATCAAAATTCAATCAACCCAGATAATGCTAATTTATTCATATAACTTTTTTTTTCAAATATTAATATTATTATCAATAGGATTATGAGGTATACCCTGTCCGAAAATTTTAAAATGCTCAAAGTGTGGTTCTTGTTCTAGCTCACTGGAAAGGAAATTCAGTGATTTGAGCCTGACGCATTCATCAGAGAAGTATCAAGCGATGAAAAACATTTGATCAGGTGTCATCAGTTCAATTCACTAGATTTACGTGTTTAATCACTTTCCATTTAACATCCAACCCTGTTAGCTTCTCGGAGTACAACCAAAGCACAGATTTGATAAATGAAAGACTATGATCAACATGGGTAACTTCATCTCTGATGCTAGCACAATACAATGAACTTTTCAGGGTGTTATTCTTAGGGCCAGGAATATATGCACTGCCCCACAAAACTCAAGTTTACATGTTTATACTGTCGTTTTGCGGTACCTTAGCAACAATAAGGAGCTTTCTATTTGCACGATGATGTAACCGTAGAAACAGATTCACTCATCCGTTACAATTCTGCACTCTCTGCACGATGTAGATTGGGGCCAAACAGAGTCCTATAATACTTAACTTTCTCGCATGCGCAAACAACTTCCTAATGACGTCTTTACGTTCAGGTCCTACACCTGTCACGCAAACGAAAGCTGCCTAATATTCGAATGGCTGAGTTTAGCAGAAAAGGTCCATAAATATACCTACACCTAGTTGAGCTTCAGACAGAGACAGGATACACCTCCCAAAACCTTTATTTTTTTGGCAATATATTTTGCAAGACTGCCAAGCATGTAAATACATAAATAGTATATTCTGTTATCACACTACCTAATGGTCATGTTGTAATACAGGTCAAGTAAACCCAATGGTATTCGAAAAAATTTCACAGAACATAATTTATGCATTCATACACCAAAGGCACCTAGCAAGACACTGCAGAAGAACATAAAAGCTGGCAACGCTATATTTTGAGGGCTACAAATCTTCCAAGAGATCTGTTAATTAATAATAGTTGTATAATAACAAGGAGGAAAAGAATGCATAGTCGTAAGCCCGAAACCTGCGGGCTTCAATCATTCTAGTGGTTGAGACGTTTCTAACATAAAAAGCGTATTTATTTTTTATCTACATTCTGAGTAGGGTTAGGGATGGACAATAGAGGGCAATATTATATAATATAGCAATACTGAAGTTCTTATATATAATATATCTCACATAATTACAGACTCTGACTGCTGTATTTTCAATCATGTATTGCAGCACTCATTACCTCCTGAAAATGGATTCATCGAATCTCGATTTCAAAAACCACTTAAATTGTAGTCAGAATTGAAGTCAATCTCAAGCGCAAGGCTTGCTCTTTGCGAAGAAGAGATTCAGTGAATTCCTTTGTGGCGCGCTGACTGTTGGCTGTTATTCAGCTGTCTCCGCCTTTCAGGATAACAAGCATGGTTGTCGACGACGACAGAGGGATACCCTAGGCTTGTTCAGTGTCCTCGCTAGCTGGCTGGGTTGCTGATACCGGCTCTTTTCGTGGCGGCATACGCTCATTTAATTTGTCTAGTCCTTTGGCTTCTTCAAAACCACTAATCTTGTGAGAGTTAATTGCTGTTGACAGGGAAAGGAGTACCAGAGACAACATATTAATACAGAAATGAATGCATAAACCAATTATCCTCATTCACCTCCTGCAAATACAACCTAAATCTTTTGACATGTTACCCTAGGCTAGGTGTCAATAACTTTAAGGGTTCTTGTCCATGCTGTTATGGGGCATACCCCCAGGGTGCCTGGGAGGCATACGTTCATTCATCTTGTCAAGACCCTTGGCTTCTTCAAAGCCACTGATCTTCTGGGAGCTGATAGCTGTTGAAGAGAGAAAAAGTAGTAGAAGATAAGAATAAAGGAACACCACATGCAAATAGTAAAAATTAGACTTTTTTATACCTTATTTATCAAACCTTATATTTTCCAACATTGTCATAGAAAGGTGGGGAAAAAAAACTTAATCTCGTTTAGCAAAATGCTGTTGCCAAAAGCAACTAGGTCGGAGAAACAAAACTAAAATTTTATTGATAAATATGAAGCAGCAGTATATGAGGTAATAACAAGATCATCTCTCGTGGTTGTAAAAAAATGCAATGTTGTAATCGGATTAGAAAATATTTGCAATTTACTTTTGAGGAAGAAATGAAGATATTTTATTGATGGATTTCAAGGTAGAGATGGGCTTACTTTCATTTATATTTTGCAGCAGGTGTGCTAACAAAAATACAATTTTTATTTTGTTTGAAATCATCATAAATGGCAGGCAGCAGGTTCAAAGAAATAAGGTACAAATATGTCTTTCAAAACCAACAAAAACATTAGTAAAATAATCAAAATGAGAATGAAGTAAAAACCAGTTGCAGCAATCAGTAAAAATGTGATGATAAAACTTAAATTAGTATATAAACAAAAATTCTTTAAAAACCAAGTGGTCCACTGAATATATAAAGATAATATAAAAAAATAATAATATGCACACTCCAAAGAAATAGAATGCTATATTGATTTGATATTTTGTTGATATATGAACATCATCAGAAAGTTAGAAAGTTTGTCAATATCGACTATTAATTAGTTACAGTAATTAAACAATCAACATGGTGCAAGTTTCAAAAGAGTAGGCAATAATTACCACTGCATGACAATGGGAAATTTACCAATAAAAAAGACGATAATATAGAATGCTAGTAATTCAATGAATTAAAAAAAAAATTTTTTTTAATGAATATATATATAACTAAAAATAATTCCATATATCATATTACGAATGAGTTTGAAGTCTAATCTTTTCAAATCACACTGCCACTCTTAGTTACAGATTTGGTCATGAATGGCTGATTTCCAACCAATCACTGACTGAATTCGGGCCTGACAACCCCATCTTACTCAAGTTGCAAACATGTTTTCTGTTACTTAAGTTCTCTGTTTAAGTTTAAATCCAGGGTGTCGAAAGCGCCATGAGCACTGAATATTGGACACCGGCGCTATAGAAGTCTAGAGAATTATTAGTATTATTAATAGTGCAAGATATTCCTTGGCAAAAGTACAAAATAAATTTTGGTAGTTATTATTATTATTATTCTTGATTGATGAATTAATTTCCCACGCAAGTATTTGGGGATGAATTGAACATTCTTTGTGACCACACTTCTGGTTTGAAAAAAAAAAAATGTTTTCTTTCGTGTTCTTGGGTAAAATATCAATTCTAATTTTCCATTGTTATCCAATTTTGGTAAGAGATATAATATAATGAACTTAAAACTTGTATTGGCTTACACCATGTCTAATTGGTTAAGTTATCTCATTTAAATACAGAAAATATTTTTTCAATCCTGATAACATTCAAATTTGGAGAGAAAAATCAAATCAATATGGTTATCAATAAACCATGGAGGATTTTTGAAATGTGCACAATATCATACAAATGTTTAAAAAACTAAAATATTAACAGATCCATTAATGAGTAGAAGTAAGTAATAAATGTATCCCAAATGTACAAGCATTTAGATGAACCAAGATATTTTAAATTACTTATAAATAAGACAGAAGCCAAAGAAATAGAATCTTGTGCAATGAATAATAAGAAGATTATGAAAGCACCAGAAATCTGAAAGCTTGGTAAAGTGAAAAGAACTGACTTCTACTCCAACAGCTTCAACTCTGAAGACGTCAAAACCGCAGTAGGATCAACTGACCTTTGACCTGAGGTTTTTTACTACTAAATAGTCTTTATGAAACTTTTCACATAAATATGATAAAGAATACTATAATTAGGTATTATGAATAAGTATTTTCTTAGAAATCATTTATGACAAATGCACTTTTTGTCTAAAATTATCTATTGCCTGTAAATGTAACAAAAATGTTTTGTTATAGATGCTATGCTTGAATGACACAGTCGTTCACATTCAAAGCAATGTCGTGGGAAGTAATAACCTATTAAACTGTAAATTGTAGTTTATAAGAAGATAGCTGGGTAATAGTTATCACATTGAACAATTGCAAGAAAAAATTAAAATTCAGAAAAAAAAAAATTTCCCATACTATATTTCACAAGAGATCATCAATTTTGTCATTTTCTCCAAATTTTAATGTTCAATATAAGTGCTTTCATCATGGATTAGATTTCTCAATTAAATTACTTTCAATGTTAAATGAGAAGAAACATGTTGGTATTATTATTAATAGTAAAATATTTAGTCAGCTAGCAGACTGCCCAAGGCTTTTCTAGATTACTTGACCTCTTGTAGTTAAAGTTCATTTTAAGAATACGAAAGTCATTTTGCTATTTTAGAACTACAGCTTGTTTAAGAATACAGGATAATTTGCTAAGCCTATAAGCCATAAACCAGGGGTTCTCAACTATATTGCAATGGGGGCCAAAATTGTTCATTGAATAGATTTGAATGGCCAGAGCAAGAGAAGTAATTTGGTGCATTGCGCCATCCGAGGGCTGCAGGTGCAAACCAGGGAGGGTTTTGGAGGGGATGTTCCCCTTGCTAAATAAGGAAATTTTTAAAAATAAGCCGCTAGTTGCTCATACAGGGCATCTTGACCTAAGAAAGTTACCTATGCCATATGTGGAACTACACACTACTAACACTACAGGCAGCAGAGCACCTCCATGCTATCGCAGTAGGCCAGCTAGACTATCAATCAAAGTGATTACGGTTAGAATTCTAGGCCTAAGCCTAACGGAAATATTATTTTTTAGCTTGATCTTGATCTTGCGGGGCTGCATAACACACACTTGCGGGTCGGAGATGGCCAGCAGGCCGCCAGTTGAGAACCCCTGCCTAAACTATAGTATGCGTATAGTTGTGAACTTACCACTTAGTAGGGTGGCTTTACCCCCTGAGAGTGCCCCTGTAGGGAGCATTCCACTGGGTGTTAGCCCCTTGAGCACAAGAACTGTCTCACTCTCCTCTCTGAAATAAAAAATTCTAAAAAATGAATAAGAAATACTAAACTTTTTATCTGTCTTTTCTTCGAGTTTCTTGAACAGAGGGAAAAACCCCCTAAATTAAATGAAAGTCATTTTTTGTTTTAAGAGATATGTCTAGTTGTATATGAATGTGTATCAAGATTTAATTTATCTTCTTTCTTTTAGAACTTGCCTGAGAACTGTAAATACTCTTGCCATCTTGCCAATGGCACGAATCTTGTTCTTAATAATCTCCTTTCTGGCAACAGCAGTGCCTCCTGAAAAACAGACAAATGCAGAGGAACTGAAAATATGGTGTTAAAATGAAAATTACTATGATGCAGTGTGAAAAAAAAATCATGAACAAGAAACACATCCAAGTCTTTGCTTTTCTAATAACTACATGTTATGTTGACTACAGTATTATTCTAGTTTATGCTCATACCTGGAAAGGATAGAGCAGAGAAAAAGTAACTTAAAGAAGTTATATAGCCGAAGAGAAACTTCGCACCATGGAATAATATTTCATATTAAAGGCAGAGGTGAAAATCAACAAGGCTGGTGCAGAAAACTCAGAGGGAAAAGTCCCACCTAGGAGAATTATAGAAGAGTGTCCTGATCAAGAAGGTAGTATTGTTGACACCTCACAAGGTGCCTTAATACTAATAGTAAGAAAAATATATCAAATTTGGCTACAAAATTTTATTACAGGTCAGATTTGAGGTGATATCTGGTGACCCATCGCCTCCAAGTTATCTGTTTGTGAACAACTATTTTAAAAATTAAGATTCCAAATATAAAGGTTTTTAGCATTCATTTTTTCTTAAATAAGATAACATTAAAATATAAAAGGTGTCAATGTTTTAATTTATACAACACATCACATAATCTGAAAAGACGTGCAGCGTGGAAGTGGATAAAGTGCTGGATGTGATTACTTAACCTCTGCCCGACTACAGGTTACATGAAGATGAAGCTCATTCAAATGAAATGACTAAGTAAGTGCTACCTCCACGCCAGCATCACAGCAATCAAGTTCACGTTATTGTTAATTCACAAAGCGACATCATATCTTTGCCGTTTCTCAATTATTCACAATGTTTTAAATCGCATCAGACTTATAAAATCCAATTAAAAAACTTATCTCTTTTTACACATACAATATAATGAAATCAATATATTTTGACTACATATATCAAAAGTTCAACGTTGATTAAAGACGGTTGCTACTGTATGGGATCAGGGGTCTCTAATTGGGTTTACAACATTGATGTAGGTTTGGTCTGGCTCACTGAAGGTTATATACTAAATTGGCAGTTTGTCAAAACATTTACATGCTAACACAATATTCATAGGCATCCATTCTATAATTCATTTATCCAAATTAATTATTAATTATATATATATATATATATTATATATAAAAATAATGG